AGCCAGTTTTCGAAAAGGATTCAGCACAATCGACCATATCTACACGGTAACTTCATTGAAGTTTCTTGGGAATTCAATATGCTGCTCTGTCTAATGTTCATTGATTTAAGGAAGACCTTTGATTCTGTTGAGAATGAAGCGGTCATCGAATCCCTAGCCAAACAGCATTCAAACTCAGTACATCAGGATCCTCCATGAGCTGTATTATGGATTCTCTAACAGGATCTCACCATTCTACAGGGAGGTGATCATTGATGTCAAGAGAGGGGTTCAGCATGGTGATACCATTTCACCGAAACTCTTCAGTGCCACCCTTGAGAACGCCATGCGACAACTGGAATGGGAAGAATGTGAGTGAAATAGACAATCGGCAACTACACCACTCCACTTCTTTGATGACATCGTTCTAATAACACCAAACATTAGCCAAGCAGCACAAATGCTGTGTGGAAAGGTCGGACTACAGCTGAATCTCAAGAAGACAGTGTTCATGAGAAACGGACTTGTTCCTGACGTTTCCTTTGCTCTTAACAGAACGAACGTCTCTGAATGAAGCTATGTGTACCTAGATCTCAACATGCTGAACTACCTGGCACATGAGTTGTGCAGGAGTAGGAGAGTGGTTTGAAACACCTTCAAGAGAGTCTAAGATATAGCTAAGAGGATGAAGAACCTCTGGCTCTGGGCACATCTCTTCAACTCCACCATTCTTCCTTCATTAACATATGCCTCAGAGACCTGGGCCCTATGAAAACAGGATGAGAATGCTATTTGGGTCTCCCAAAGAAATCAAAAGAGCTATGCTTGGAGTATCACGCTTCACTCAAGTGAGAGAAGGAATCTGGAGTTTCGACCTCCGTCAACAATAGAGAATCAGAGATGCTGTCTCATTTGTTAAGGTGTCGATAATCAGATGGGCTGGACACATAATGCGATTTGGAGACAACCACTAGACTAGAGCCATTACCAACTGGATTCCATGGGAAGTCAAAATAATGTGTGGCTGCCCACCTATGAGATAGTCAGATTTCTTAATCAAGACCCTGAACGAACGGTTTGAGGCTCTTTCTGTTTCTGGAGTGAGTATACGCCATTGGGCTACACTAACACATGACAGGGACTAATAGAGACGTTACTGGTGCCCACTCGAGCAAATCGATGAGTAATGGGATGTCAAGTGATCGAGTGAGAAATAGTTCTTAATATAAATTTCTGTTTTATGTTATTTCAGAAAATTATAGGCAAAATATGAAAAGGATTAATAATCTGAAATCTTCCTCATAATTTTGTTTGTAAAATATGTATAATATTACATGAAAAAATATTTGACCCAAATTCTAAAAAAAATATAAAACATAAAGGCAAGCTTGAGGGGTCAGGAAAATTGCTGTAAGGGCCTGAGCACATGTCTGGCACCTGTATCCAGCACTGCATGACACCTCTCCTGGGCATAGTCCTGGTGCCCAGATGCCTCCAGGAGTGGCCCCAAGGCCCTTGAGAACCAATGTGGAGACCCTATACTTATTAATGAGTACACAAGATTTAAGTTAAAACCTACAACTATGGCAAGGCTCTGGTGAAATTAGTATTTTCATACTCTGAGTGACATTACGCAATTCAATTAGAATTTTCTTAAGAACCATAAAGAAGGGGTTGGAAAGAGCTTCCAGCAGGTAAGATGCTCTCTTCATACCCGTCAGATCCAGATTAGATCCCAGTATCACATACAGTCCCAAAGCACCACCAGGAGTGGTTTGGTGTGGCCCATAACCAAAAAAATAAGTTCTTGAAGAAAGAGCCATAAAAAGAATTATATCCTTCAACCTGGGTTCACGTGGGTTCCGGGGCCGAGATCTCCAAGCCTACTCGGATTGGAGTTGAGCATCCTCCACCCAGATCCTCCAAATTCCAGTAGGCGGGGGTCACACCCACCAACCTCGCCCCCTGGCGCCGTGTAATCCCATCAGCGGCCAAGACTTTGAGACTATAAAAACCAGCTCCTGGAACCGCGCGGCCGCATTCGCAGCCGCGCGACATCTTATTATGACACCTCATTCCTACTTTGACAAACTGGCAGGCTACCGAATGTAGCCTGCCCACACAGCAGAGTCTGGCAAACTCCCTGTGGCGTACCCAATATGCCAAATACCAGTAACAATGATGGGTCTCATTCTCCTAAAGAGCCTTGAATATAATCTCAGGGCTAGGATGAAGGAGACGTTACTGGGGCCTGCTCGAGGCAATCGACGAATAACAGGATGATCTGTGATCTGTGATCTGTGATCCTTCAACCTAATCATTACTGGAAATTTCTCCTTCAACTGGAAAATCAAATGCATTAAGTATAAGAATGTGCACTAAAAAGATATGACTATATATTTTAAAACTTTAAAAGTCTAAATGCTAAATAATTTTAAAATGGCTATATCAAGTTAAGAAATAATTACTCAATAAAATGATACACAGCCAAATAGACATATGTAACTGCAGTTCCCAAAGAAGAGGAAAGGGGAATGGCAAAAAATAGCTACAAGATTTTACAACTGAGGTAAAAATCCACAAAGGCACAAATAAAAAAAGTTCAACAAATCTTTCTGGCCTTCCCTGAAGGTCCTGTAGTAAGGATTCGGGGCTCTCACAAAAATTTCTACAAATCATCAAACACTAAAAACTAGAGATAACATGAAAATCTTACAGGCATCCTAAGGACAAAAGAGACACGTTACAAACAAAACACATGCACCTAATAATTAATAATAAAATAAAACCTATGGCCAATTTCTTAGGGGTAGAAAAAACAAAAAAATTTTGGAACATCCTTGAAGAAATAAAAGAGGGGCAAACTCATTAGTGGTACACTGAAGTTTCCTAGTACACAGTTCTTTGATAGTCTAAAGAAGATAAGTGAATGACAGACTGGCACATGAAAAGGTCAACATCATTAAGTAAAGTAAGTAAAGTAAAGTAAAGTAAAGTAAAGTAAAGTAAAGTAAAGGCCCTCCCGTTGATCATCGATTTGCTCGAGTGGGCCCAGTAACATCTCCATTGGAGACTTTGTTGTTACTGTGTCTGGCATATCGAATACTCTCGGTAGCTTGCCGGGCTCTCCGAGAGGGGCGGAGGAATCGAACTCGGGTCAGCCATGTTGGCTGCGTGCAAGGCAGACGCCCTACCCGCTGTGCTATCGCTCCAGCCTAATTAGTAATTAAGAAAATACAAACCACAATTAAATGCCACTAACCACCTAGTAGATAACTGAAATGAAAAAGAATGATCATACCAAGTATTGAAAAAAAATGTTGAAAAATCGGAACCCTCTCATTCAGCAGGGTAAATGATACAACATAAAATAATCCAGCCTCTTAGAGAAATAATTTGTCAGTCACTCTGAAGAATTGGAGAGGGGGGACACACACATCCAGCAGTGCTCGGGGCTCACTGGTATCTCTGCATTTGGGGATCACTCCTGGAGGCCTGAGAGGACCAAATGGGATATCTGCAATCGAATGCAGATTGGCAGCAGCATGCAAGGCAAACTCCCAACCCACTGTACTATCATTCCGGTCCCGACTTAAAATATCAAACCTATGCCAATTCTAATTATTCTACTGAATATTCAATCCAACATAAATAAAACATATGTTTTCACTAGAAAGACTGGTGTACAAGGAGTTAATTCATATTCTATCCAGCAATAAAAACACATAGTCTCCTAAATAAGATTCTTGTTTCTTAGAGGCATATTAATTCAGAGTGAGAAAGTAAGAAAAAATTCAAAGAGGAAATAAGACATAAAATGAAAACTATGAAAAATTAAACATAAATAATAGTATACTGTGATATAAAACCAAAGAGTTCTGAGGGAATCCCTAAGCAGAGGGAACTAAAGAAGTTAACCATAGCAACAAGAGGCTAGAGGTTATGTGAAGGGCACATGATGCCTGCTACTTAATCTACATTAAGGATTTTTGAACTTCATCCTAATAATAATGCAGAAAATGAATCTGCAGAAAATGAATCTCATTTTCTGTTTAGCTTTGGGCCACAGCCAGAGTGCTGCAGGACTCAGCCTCACCCATGCCCAAGGTCAAGGACACAGTGCTTGGGAGACCATGTGGCGCTGCAGGTCCTGCAGACAGTGCATGTAACTCAACCTCTGAGCCATCTTGGTCCTGGGAACTATATTTAAAGAATGCTGATGTAATAAGAACTAAATTCTTGAAGAAAACATCAAAACTCTTCTGATATGTAGAACATGGATTATAGAATGCAAGTTAGAAACTGGAAAATTGTCCCCCTAACAAAAACCTCAAGGTCAAGATAGTCCCTCTGGGTAATGTAAGTTTAGAAAAGGGGGTAATAAACATGGGGGAAATGAATAAAATAGAATAAAGCTACAGAATATATGGAAAAAATGGAATTTAATTATTTTGGATCTTTTAGATATAGAGGGCAACACAGGCAAGAGCAAGTTAATATTCTGAGGTGCCTGCCGATGGGCTATGTGGGATATCCCGCCTCTGCTCTCAATGTATCCACTGAATTTTGATGTTCTTACTAACTGTACTTAATGCCTCTGTCAGCTAAATAATGTCTCATATATTAGAAACCCCCTGTCGGGGAGTGATACTGTGTCAGATAAGCGGCCTTTTGGGAGCTATCCTGTGGCTTCTCAGGAGACCCTAAAGCCTGGATAGTCCTTAAGTGTTTGTCTCATTCCCTGTGACCACCCCAGGCTGGAGAGCAATCTAAGTTGCCAATACAATAGGCTTTATCATGATAAGTTGCCACAAGTAATAGGAATCTTATTTAGGAGACTATTATGTACCTCCAGGCAAGAAACTTAAAAATTAACAGAAGTAAAATATAGAAAATTTTGTAAAAACATAGGAAGCAGAATCAACGTAATATATAAGTGAAGTGGGGAGTGAGTAAAGGTACAAGAATGACTTCTGATATGTATGTCACTGAGGAGTCAAAACAATCTTCTTATTACTTGCCATTATATGTTGGTCCACTGTCCACGCTTCCTCCGTATCCTTTATTCTCGCAATCTGGTGGAGCCCAGCCATTTTCACAATGGCAATTCTTATTGCTATTACATACCTTCAAAACAATCAAAATACAACTTTTGTTAGTCGTGAATGTTTCTCCAAATCATTCTTTCTCAAGAATAAAAACCAAAGGAAAAGAGACTAAAATCATACAAATCCAAAAACATCCTTTGTAAGAATTTGAAAAGCTCACCAAGGAGGTATGGTGCCACCAGCAGGTCAACCTGTACCTGCGGGGGAAGTGCATCAGCAGCCTGATGGTGCCTTCAGACTTCCTGATACCCCCAAATTACTGCTGTGCCTTTGGCCGGACCCCAACAACTTGGGGTCAAGTTTACCAAGAACTTAAATGGCAAAAAAGTTAGGTATGTGGAGCCACACCCACAAACCACCTCCAGCTCAGCTACATAGGCTCATTTATTGGCCTTATTTCAGAGACCCATAAATCTCGAAAGAGATCAAAAGCCACAGTTAGGGCCGGCAGCACAGCACGGCACACTGTAGGTGAGTGGGTGTGCACTGCAGGGCATATGCCAATAGTTTATTTCTCTGGAAAAGATGGAAACAAGGGCCATGATCCAGACATACACAAAAGAATCTCCAAACCGAGCAGCTCGCTGCAGAGATGCCTCTGAACTTTAAGCCAGGCCAACTTCACCTGCCTCAGATGGGGGTTGGCATCGTCCTACCACCTGCCCCTAAAAACCCTGGCAACTGCCGACTTCCAGAACCCAATGAGAAGTGCAGGTACATGGGTGACAGCAAACTCCAGGTCTCAGGGGATAGGGGATGGGCCAGTCCCTCTCTTCCCTCCCCTGCCCACAAGACCCTGGAGGTCACACTCACAAACTGCCTCCGGCTGCTACTTAAGCTTCTTTTTTTTTTGGGGTCACACCCGGCGATGCACAGGGGTTACTCCTGGCTCTGCACTCAGGAGTTATGGTGCTCAGGGGACCATATGGGATGTTGGGAATTGAACCCGGGTCGGCCGTGTGCAAGGCAAACGCCCTATCCGCTGTGCTATCTCTCCAGCCCCATACTTAAGCTTCTTAACAGCTATGATAGAGAGACACGTAAAAGAATCTCTGAACTGAGCAGTTCGCTGCAGAGATTTCTCCAGACCCTACTTATCTAAAATTTTAGAATTCCAGGAGATTGCGGCCACAATATCTTATGCTATTCATAACAAGCAATACAAAAGAGAGTATGGGAAGATTGTCTGCCATAGAGGCAGGGGGAGGGGTGGGATGGGGAGGGATACTGGAGACCTTGGTGGTGGGAGATGTGCACTGTGGAGGATTGGGTGATCGATCATTGTGTGATTGAAACTCAAATAGGAAAAGTTTGTAACTGTATCTCATGGTGATTAAAAAATAATAAGAAGAAAACATAATAAAATAAAATTAACATTCTGAATAAAAACAAAGTAATGCTGAGTTCATGCCCCATTCAATCAGCTTAATCAACGGCTGAGTAAATAGAAGCACTCCTACATTAAAAAAAAAAGAAAGAAAGAAAGAAAGAAAGAAAGAAAGAAAGAAAAGCTTACCAGATATCAAAATTCCACCCTATTTAAAAGTTGTTAAAGTCTTGTATAGTCTCATTAAATTCTCAGAAAAAAAATTTCATTACTCAACATTTTCATAAGCAAATTAAAGATACCTACCCCATGTCCATGACATTTTTTCTGAATATCACAGTCATAATTCAGAACAGAAGCATTTACACATTGAAAGTTTCTACAAATCTGTAAAAAAATAAATAAAATAAAATAAACAACTAAAGAATAAGGAAAATTGGAACACAGTAACAAAGAACCCAGAGAAAAAGACCAAGGCACAGATTATTTCATGGGTGAATTCTTACAAAGTTTCAAGGGTCAGTTAATAGTCATTTATATTTTTGAAAACATAGGAAAACAGTAAAAACAAGGTAGAACTAATGATTTAAAAGAAAATGAAAGAACCAAAATTCAAAGTAAGATCATAATCATTCCATACAAATACAGATGAGGGAATTATATTGAAAATATTCACAAAAGGATTTTTTTTCCAAATCAAAAGTTACCCGATATCATAATACCACTACGATAAGAAAAGCTCAATAATGTCAAATAAATTTAAAGAAGTTTATGTCAGTTCTCAAGTTTATAAAAAAAAAATCTCTATAGATTGCCAGAGGATGGCCTCAGATCAAGAATCTTCTCTACATCTACTAAAATAAAGAAAATCTTGGAAAATATTCACTATGCTTGAATAGAAACTGATGGGGAAAAAATAAAGAGTTCAAATGGAATTAGAGGATATAAAGAATCACAGTAGCAGAATGGAGGAAATCACAGTAGCAGAATGGAGGAAGCCTAAAACCAAATGAATGATATCAAAAAACAAAACACAAGACATAATCAAAGGGTCAGAGCGATAATACAGAGGGTACAGACTTGCCTTGATGAAAGCAGACCCGGGCTTAATCCCCAGCGCCACATACGGAACCCAAGCAGTGTTAAGAAGTGACGCTGAGAAGAGAGGTAGGAGCAAGCCATGAGCACAGCCAGGTGTGACTCAAACAGACAAAAAACAAAAGGGGAAAGAGGAAATTATTTTTTAATGAAAAAGTAATATATTTAATGGACAATGGCAAGTGGAATTGCCTCTGAATCATATGAATACCAGGAAAAGAAAGGAGAAAGTGGAAAAGTGGCTAGTGGGAGAGACGGTAACTGAGAACTTCTCCAGTGTAAGGAGAGAAAAGAGAAGGGTGCACAAATCCAGGAGGCCCAACGGGTACCAAACAACGGAAGCTCAAACAGAGCAGAGCGGCAGAGAGAGGGCAAGGGAAGTAAAACCTCAAACAAGGTTTTACTTCCTATCTTATTACTATAAGATAACTATATAAATAACATATACAATAACTTTTAAATAAAACTCTATGGAAAGGGAACGTAATAAAATATTCAAAACATCAAAAAAAAAAAAACCTTCAACCAAGAGTCTTCTATCTTGCAATACTGTCATTCAGATTTGAGGAAGAGACTGACTTCTTCGAATGCCAATGGGAGGAATTCTCCTTTCAAAAGGACTAATTCTCCTACCAAAGTGGCTGGATGGATCAGGAAACAAAATACAACCTTCTGCACCTTACAAAAAAATACTTGAATTCATATGATCAAGGCAGGCTCAAAGTGAAAAGACAGAAAAAAGTAAAGTAAAAAAAGGTAGAGTAAAAAAAATGCCAAATGAGGGGATATGGTACCACCAGCCGGTCAATCTGTACCTGTGAGGTGAGTGCATCAGCAGCCTGATGGTGCATCAGACTTCCAGAAACCCCAAAATTTCTGCTGTGCCTTTGGCCAGGCCCCAAAAACTTGGGGCAAAGTTTACCAAGAAAGTAAACGGCCAAAAGTTAGGTATGTGGGAGACACACACACAAACCACCTCAGACTCAGCTATATAATTGGAGACAAGGCCTCTCTGGTTCCTGATTGAACTGCTTAACAGCCATGATCTCAGGGACTCAGAAACAAATCTCGAAACCCAACGGCTTTTAGCAGAAATGTGTCCAGTCCCTGCAGTAGGTTACCGGTGCTGGGCCAACCCAGGTGGGAATAGGTTTTGTGCCTTGGCCTGTTCCCTCTGGTGGCCCAGTGGCCGCCATCCTCCAGAGGCCACAGGACAGTCAGGTTTGGACCAGCAGTGACAAGACACGCGGGGCCTCACGGGATGGGGATGGAGCTGGCCCTTTCCTCCCCATCCCAACGAGACCCTGAGTCGTCGCCCACGAACAGCCTCTCTGGCTCCTGATCAAGCTGCTTAACGGCCATGAACCCAGAGAATCAAGAACAAAGCTCGGAACCCAGCAGGTTTTGGCAGAAATCCCTCCAGATTTAAGTGTTAAAACTTCGGAATTTCATCTCATGAGAAGAGGGGGCAGTACCGGCTCGTCCTTCACGCCCTACCGAGGTCACGAGTTGCCCCCCACGAGTGACTCTCCAGCACAGCCATAGCTCCAGAGGCAAAAGGACTTAATCCAGAGCCCAGCAGCTTGCAGCAGAAAAGTGAATGGCCCATGCGTAACCTATAGTGCCATGCCTCCCTGGGAAGGAAAAGGTGTTGCTCCCTTCCACCTTTCCCCCACTCAACCCCCCTGGGAGCAAGGTGGCCGCCACCTCAGAGCTTATTGGAAAGCCAGGTATGAGCCGTTGGTGAAGGGGCAACTGCAGTCTCATGGGAAGAGGGGCAGTACCGGCTCATCCTTCACGCCTTACCAAGGTCATGAGTTGCCCCCTACGAGCAGCTCTCTGGCACGGCCATAACACCAGATGCACAGAAACCAATCTCATAATTATTCTGTCTCTTTGCAGAAATCCCTCCAGACTTACCTAGTAAAATATCAAAAATCCAAAATCGTGCGGCCACAAAGTGGCTGCATGACATCATATGGTTCTCATAACCAGCTATAGAAATCAAATTATTTCACAATGCCTTTTCAGCAATCTGATTGTTGGGGGGAAATTCTAAACAATAATGGTGCATCTTTTGTTGAAATAATGAATGCAATCAAAGTAGAGAGAGAGTTAAGTAGCATCTGCCTCACAGGCACTGAGAGGGGTAGGAGGGGGTATACTGGGGTTCTTGGTGGTGAAAAATAAGTACTGGTGAAGGGAAAGGTGTTTGATGATTGTATGACCGAGACTTAAACCTGAACTTTTTAACTTTTCTCACAGTGATCCAATAAATAAATAAATATAAGGGGAAAAAATGCCAAATGAAATGGCATCCAACCAACAGAAATAACATAGGGATGAATTTCACACACTTATTGTAGTAAAACGTAGGGATGGATATTATATACTTGTTAAGGGAGCAAATAGACAAGGATTTTACTCATCGATATATATGCACCAAAGAAAGGGGCAGCACCGTTTATAAAGAACGACTAATAGACATCAATCACACTTGTGGCAACACAATAGCAATGAGATTCAACACACTATTTTCCTCCCTGGCCAGATCAACCAAATAGACTATCAATGAGGAAATAAGAGTCCTATTGAGAAATTAGAACTGGGATAAACTGACATATATAGGACCTTCCAGGCTGAAAAATTCATTCAGCCATAAAGAATTAGTATACACAGACCATTCTCCAGAATAGACCGTATTCTGGGGAATAATTAAAGTATCCATAAAATTAGAAAAATAGCGATCATATCAAGAGATTCTCAGACTACTATGCCATAAAGGAAGAAATTAACCATCAAGAGAAAGTGAGGAAAAACATTTATAACTAAGCAACATTTTTGTAAATACTAGGCCAAAGAGGAAATCAAAGAACAAATCAAAAGATTGCTCTAAAAAAGGGAAATGAAGAAATAAACTATCAGAACATATTGAACACATAAACAGTCAAATTTGGGGGAAGTGTATAGCAACACAGGCTTATATGAGGAAAGAAGAAAGGTTTAAAACAATAACCTAACTGCACAGGGACTGGGGTGATAGTACAGCAAGTAGGGTGCTTTCCTTATATGCAGCCAACCAGGGTTTGATCACCAGCATCCAATATGGTTCCCTGAGCACCACCAGGAGTGACCCCTGAGAACACAGCTAGGAGTTAACCCTAAGCTTTGCTGGTGTGCCCCAAAAGTCAAAAATAATAATAATAATAATAATAATAATCTAAATACACAACTTGAGAAAATGAAACAACAAAATGAACCCCAAACCCTAAGGAAGAAAATAATAAAATAAAAATTAGAGTACAAATCAATGATAAAGAAATCAAGAAACAATACAAAGGTCAATGAAACTGGGAGCTTGATTTTGAAAGAATAAGATTGACAAAGTCCTTTGATAAGACTCAAATTATACTATATACCAAAAGAAATCAAAACAGCATGGTACTGACTGGAATACCTGTATCTTCCACCATATACAAAAGTTAATTCAAAGTGCATGATCTCAATCATCTGTGGCATATAGAGTAACAAGGTAAAGGTAAAGGCCCTCCCGTTGATCGTCGATTTGCTCGAGCGGGCCCAGTAACGTCTCCATTGGAGACTTTTGTTGTTACTGTGTCTGGCATATCGAATACTCTCGGTAGCTTGCCGGGCTCTCCGAGAGGGGCGGAGGAATCGAACTCGGGTCGGCCATGTTGGCCGCTTGTAAGACAAACGCCCTACCCGCTGTGCTATCGCTCCAACCCAGAGTAACAAGAAAATACATATATCAACTGACAAGTGTTCTGGGCAGTAATTATAGAACTGAGAACATCAGGTTGCAGTGGAATGCTAACATGATAAAGCAAACTAGAGGTTACATTGGGGCACTGGTGAAGGCCTGGGGCACTTTGGTGGTGGTAAAGAGAGGTAACTGTAAACCAAGACTATAAATGCCAACAACACTGTAAATGTATAATCAAAACTATAATAGCTAATTTTTTTAAGTTAGTGGTGGATGTTTGTGGAAACTGTGGTTGTGCTACAATAATTATGTACATCAGAATTTGAAAGCAGTCATACTGTTATAACCATATCTAAACTATAATAATAAAAATAAATAGAACAAAACGTGTAATGATAAAAAAAAATCTACAAGGAAATACAAGAAAATAATACACAAACATATCATTACAGACCACAGATAGCAAATTAGTATATATTATAGATTATAGAGAATATAGCATTTAATATGCATACATATATGTAGTGTTTTTTTCTTTTATTTTTTTTAGGTCACCAGCCGAGGCACGTTTGATTCTTCCAACCCTCTCAAAGTAACTGGCAAGCTACCTGTGACATATTCAATATGCCAAACACAGTAACAACAAGTCTCAAAAAAAATGGGAGACATTACTGGGTCTGCTCGAGCAAATCAATGAACAGGAGGACAGTGACAGTGACAGTGACAGGTCACACCCAGCGATGCACAGGGGTTACTCCTGGCTCATGCAATCAGGAATAATTTCTGGTGGTGCTCAGGGGACCATATGGTGTGCTGGGAACAGAACCCAGGTTGGCTGCATGCAAGGCAAAGTAGCAATATTACAGCGTCAGGGCATTTGCCTTGAATGCAGCCGGCCCGGCAGAGCCGGGTTCGATCCCTCTGCCCCTCTCGGAGAGCCCGGCAAGCTACCGAGAGTATTTTGCCCACTCAGCAAAGCCTGGCAAGCTACCCGTGACATATTCGATATGCCAAACACAGTAACAAGTCTCATGATGGAGACATTACTGGGCCTGCTCGAACAAATCGATGAACAACGGGAGAACCGTGACCATGACCATGACATATATGTAGTATTGCTGCATAAAGACACTATGCATATGCAGTATTTCATTATGTATTATGGAATGCTCTCTCTCTATATATACATATATATATGCACACTATACACTACATATTAGCATATCTGTTTTATACTACTAATGCCTTATAAAACACAAAAAAATAAAATCCATAAAGAAATAATGCATTTAAATACATAAAAATGTAAACAAGCAAAAAATACTATAAACGAGAAGAAAAGGTAAGCTATCAGCTAGATAAAATACTAAATTCTACTATATATACATCATAAATTAATCAAATTTCTTTAAAAAAATCACAAAAAATCACTGAGAAAAATATACCAATATTTCAACAGACATTAAAAAGCTTACCAAAAATATTCATCACCATTGCTTTCAATGGTATGATTCTATTGCCAAAGGCAACAGGAAGAAAAATAAACAAATGGGACTGTAACAGATTTAAAAGCTCTGCAGGGCAAAAGAAACATGAACTAAAACCAAAAGACACCCAACTAAATGAAAGAAAATATTTGCAATCTACATATCATAAAAAAGCTTAATATCCAAGATTAACAACAAAAAAGATCAATACAACAAAAATTGGGGAGAAGAAATAAAGGCCCTCTGAGGAAGACAAAGAGTCACAAATAGGGACATCATGAAAAAGCACTCAGCATCATCTATTATCATGGAAATCTAAACCAAGATGACAGTGAGAGATTGTCTCCCATGGTGTGAATACCATACATCAACAGAGCAATCTGTGTTGGCAGGATACGGTAAAAAGGAACTCATTCAACTGCAGGTGAGAATGTTGTCTGGCTCAACCTCTATGGAAAACAGTTTGGAGATTGTTCAGGAAACTAAGAATAAAGCTTCCATATGACCCAACAGTTCCATTTCCATTCCATTCCATTTTATTCTCCAAGAAATAAAAACACTCAGAACAGATGACTGGTTAAAGAAACTTTGGTACATTTACACAATGGAGTACTATGTAGCTGTTAGAAAAGATGAAGTTATGAAATTTACATACAAGTGGTACTACATGGAAAGTATCATGTTAAGCGAAATGAGTCAGAAAGAGCGGGATAGACACAGAAAGATTGCATTCATCTGGGGAACATAAAGCAACAAAAAGGGAGAGTGACACACAGGAATGGCTGAGATTAGTACCAGGAATTTTGCTCCATGAATGGAAGGCCAGCCACAGGCTCTAGGTGAAAAGGAAGCTCAGATAGAGAAGAGAGTACCAAATGAAGGGTGTTGTGAGGGCCCTCCCAGGGTGGGAGAAGCATGCTAAAAGTAGTCGATAGACCAAACATGATTGCCACTCAAAGCCTCTCTTGTAAAACACAGTACCCAAAAGAAGAGAGAGAGAACAAGGGGGAATACCCTGCCACAGAGGCAGGATGGGACGGGTGGGGGGATGAGGGTGGGGGGGATGCTGGGACCCATTGGGATGGATGACGGGCACTGGTGGAGGTATGGGGACTTGATCATTGTATAACTGAAACCCAAGCACAAAATTTGTAAGCCTATAACTGTACCTCATGGTTTTTCACTAATAAAAAAAAAGGAAAAAAAAAAAAAAAAAAACAAAAAAAAAAAAACAAAAGGACATATGCCCACCATTATTCATTGCAGTGCTTATTGTAGCAGCTGGGATATGGAATCAACCAGTGGGTTATGAAGCGGTGGTATACGTGGTACACACATGTACACCACATGGAAAACCATGAAGCTGTGAGTAAAGATGAAATCACACAGTTTGCTGCAAACTGGAGGGTACTGCAGGATATCATGTTAAGTGAAGCAAGTCAGAAGAAGGAAAAATACGAGATGATGTCACTTACATGTGGTATTTCGGATAACAAGACGAGGAAATGCAAGATATCAAAGGGGGATACCTAAATTACACTTCACCCCAAGATTACAGAAATGTCACCTAGATTAACATTCTTTAAAACATGCCTGTCATGGAGGCAGTTTTGAGGATTGGGGGAACCTGCAGATATTAGTGAAGAAGAGTTGACACTGGTGTGGGATTGGTGTTAGAACATAGTTACCAAAACTGGCTTGTAAACCAGGTGCTTTAATTTAAAAACAAAACAAAAATGTAAATATTAAAAAGGAAAGTATGTTTATCAGGATGGATATTCTGAAATTTTTATTTGCATAGTCATGTATCCAACATTGGTTATAACTCCTACAGTTACGGAGTGATAAAGACAGGCACTAATTTTTTTTTTTTATTAAAACCTGAACAACAGAAATGGAACTGAAAATCTGGTTGAAACTGAGGTAACATGAGGGCCTGCCTGTCTTTCCACAGGTCCTCCTCACCTTCCTCCCTCTACCCTCCCTTCACCCTCTTCTATTCTGTGTTGTTGAACTTGTTCAGCAGTCCTGCCTCCTCATATTTCTTGCACATGATTTAATATTTCTGTTGCCCTCCCAACACTACTGTTTCATAGCATCTTTCAAACAGTCAAACAATTTCTGACCCAATCTTAGTTACTTCTCTTCAATTATATATTCACCCCCCAAAAGGGGTAATTTGGCCTAGTTCATTTTCTAATATGGAGCCAGTTGTAAGAACTAGTTAGAGGCTGGCTAACTCTGTGGTCCTATATGTCCCAAGAGCTGTGACTGGGACAGCAGAGACAGCAGGGGCCTGGATCAGAGAAGCACCAAAGCACTGTCAGTAAAGACAAACATGCACCCATGCATGTATGCACACATATCCACACTCACACACAGATAGAAGAAATCACCTTAATGTCCCAAAAGTAGAGTGGCTAATTATAACACATTGGTAGGGATAGGAAATATATATATAATACATAAACAGAAACTATAAATTATACTCCAAGATCACAATAAAAAGTTATAGATAATAAAATTATAACTATTGCTGGTTTTCATTGGTGAGCTTATATTTTCTAAAATCTTTATAATAAATACACTTCCCTAATCAAAAGCCAACTACAAGAGGAGCCAGAGAGACAATATAGTGGGTAAGGTGCTTGTGTTGCACACTGCCAAACAGGATTCAATCCCCAGCACCTCACAAAGTTTCCTGAACACTACCAGGGATAATTTCTGACCATAGTCAGGTGTGGCCTGAACATGAATGAATAAGATAGAGGAAAGAAGGAATGGAGGGAAGGAGAAAGGGGGGTAGAAAGGGAGGGAGGGGGGGAGGAGGGAGGGAGGGAAGGAAGGAAGGAAGGAAGGAAGGAAGGAAGGAAGGAAGGAAGGAAGGAAGGAAGGAACCACCATATACTTTGTGTAGTTTTTAAGTTTTTAAAATTCTACTTCATAAATAGAATATTCGATATGCCAAACACAGCAACAACAAAGTCTCCAATGGAGACGTTACTGGACCCGCTCAAGCAAATCGACGAACAACAGGAGGACCTTTACCTTTACCTTTATAAATAGAATATATTTTTATTACCTTTCCAACATCACATCTTGTGCCTTCATTCACCATACCAGGATCTGGAACATCTGACCCCAGTTGAAAATCTACACCCCAACATGTGGTGCTTCCACTGGGACTCTTAATAATAGCAGGCACAATTCCAAACACAGGCATCTCTTCAACATTCTCACACTGAAGCTTTCCACACAAAGCATTCCTAAACAGAGAGAAATAACGCATACATAAAATATAGCCAGCATTACATGCCCAAAGAGAAGTTACACATCTGTATACAGACATAATTTTGCTGCTATTTAGCTAAAGGGAATCTTGGGTGGGAGTGAATATGAGAACAAAAGTAGGTCAAAATAATACTTTATGAACATGGCATAGAACAGACAAAAAGAATAGAATGCTGGATAGCACAGAAACTTCTTTTCCTATACCTAATCCCTCTTCACTATCTGGGGCCTAAAAAAAAAAAAGTCTGATAAAGTTCATAAACGCTGTAGCACTGTAGCACTGTCCTCCTGTTGTTCATCGATTTGCTTAAGCGGGCACCAGTAACGTTCCATTGTGAGACTTGTTACTGTTTTTGGCATATCGAATACGCCACAGAGAGCTTGCCAGGATCTGCCCTGCAGGCGGGATACTCTTGGTAGCTTGCCAGGCTCTCCAAGAGGGGCGGAAGAACTGAACCGGGTCGGACTCATGCAAGGCAAACGCCCTACTCGCTGTGCTATCACTCCAGCCCTATAAACACTATATTATATAAAAAAAAAATAATAGAACCATACCAAAATTTGGATTTTTTTTACAGAATTGTGAAAAGGAGAAAATGAGTTCTATAATATAAAATAACTGAAAAAAAACTACTCAGTTTGGCTCAATCATAATTACTTAAGAATTCAATTCATTTTCTCATTCATTCTTTAATTCAACTAACTGACTAAGAACTCTACTAGGGATATAGAATGCTATGAAGTTTCCCTGTTTACAAGTCCTATCAAGGCTATGTGAGTTAAATGCCCTTCTAATATCCTCTCATACTAAATACCCCTAAAATAAATTTTTTTTTAGTAGGACATTTATTTTATTATTTTTTTTATCATTTTTTTATTAGTGAAACACCATGAAGTACACTTATAGACTTATAAATTTTTGTGCTTGGGTTTCAGTTATACAATGATCAAGCACCCATCCCTCCGCCAGTGCCCATCCTCCCCCACCACGGGTCCTAGCATCCCTCCCACTCCCCATCCTCCCCCCCCACCCCCCCGTCCCACCCTGCCGCTGTGGCAAGGCATTCCTCCCTGTTCTCTCTCTCTTCTTTTGGGTACTGTGTTTTGCCAGAGAGGCATTGAGTGGCAGTCATGTTTGGTCTATAGACCACTTTTAGCATGTCTCTCCCACCCTGGGAGGGTCTTCACAACACCCTTTATTTGGTGCTCTCTTCTCTATCTGAGCTTCCTTCTCACCTAGCACATGTGGCTGGCCTTCAAGTCATGGAGCAAAATTCCTGGTACTAATCTGAGCCCTTCCTGGGTGTTAGTCTCCCATTTTGTTGCTTTATGTTCCCCAGATGAATGCAATCTTTCTGTGTCTATCCCGCTCTTTCTGACTCATTTCGCTTAACATGATACTTTCCATGTGTACCACTTGTATGTAAATTTCATAACTTCATCTTTTCTAACAGCTACATAGTACTCCATTGTGTAAATGTACCAAAGCTTCTTTAATAAATTTTTATAATGCAGCATTGAATATTTCCTATTTGATTGCCTAGTAATCCAAGCACCTATACTATTCTTTAATCTCCTCAATGAGACTTCTGTAAAATAATTTTAGGATAGTTCCCAGTTGCTTGAACTTACCTTTTCATAAAAATTGCCATTCTAGCTATTCTTTAACTTTTTGAGTGAAAATTACTTCCCCTTATAACTCCCATAATGTTCCTACACACAAGACCACACAGCCTTCTTTCCTTTTTCCAGGTGACAGCTATGTTACAACAGTTTTCACGTAGCTCATAAAGGCAATGAGTGGCCGGTTAGCTCAGTTGGTTAGAGCGTGGTGCTAATAATGCTGTGCTAATAACGTACAGGCCATGGGCGCAACTCCTTTTTGGGCTGGAGCAATAGCACAGCAGGTAGGGTGTTTGTCTTGCAAGCAGCGGACCCGGGTTCGATTTCTCCATCCCTCTCAGAAAGCCCAGCAAGCTACCGAGAATATACCACCTGGACAGCAGAGTCTGGCAAGCTCCTTGTGGTGCATTCAATATGCCAAAAACAGTAACAAGTCTCACAATGGAGACGTTACTGGTGCCCACTCAAGCAAATAGATGAACAATGGGAAGACAGTGCTACAGTACTACCAGGCAATATCATACCACTGATTCTTAAGGAATCAGGAAGCTCCCCTCTAAATATGCTCATTGCCTCTTGAAACAGTACTCCATGGAGCATTAAGTTTTGCTATAGCCATGCAGTTTTTGTTTCTCTTAGTCTACATAGAAGCCCCAGATCACAGTTGCTGAATTATATTATATTACTGACACACTAATTATATTTCCCATTTGATTTCTGCATATGCTGTACTAAGTCTTTTCTTCCTTTCATTTAGCACATTAGCGTTCATTATTTGCCCCAACTTAACTTCTTTTTTTTTTAATTTCTGTTCATTTGGGGTCAGGTCATAGTACTTGGGGCTTACCCCCGGTTCTGCATTCAAGAAACACTCCTGGTGGTGCTCAGGGGACCATATGTGATGCTAGGGATCAAAACTAGGTGGGCTGCATCCAGAGAAATGTCTAACCTACTGTACTACCTCTCCAGCACATTACTCTCATGATGTCACTGTTCACAATAAGCCCTACATAAATTACTTAAGTTTCCTGTCCTTCTATTTATTGAAAAGCAAGAGATAAATAATAATGCCAATATAAAAAAAGGAAAGCAATGCAGAAATATATAGATTCTTCAAAATAAATGAGAATGAGGAATAAACTCTCTGAACCTGTGAGAAATGGGAAAGGCAGTACAAAGTGGGACATTCATAGCAGTATAGGCCTACATAGGGAAGAAAAAATAAAATGAATGACCTAGTCAGAGAGTTGGAGAAAATAAAAATTTTACAACCAAGTACAAAAAAATATTTAAAATTACAGTAAAACTTTATGATAAATAAATAAAACAACACAACAAAACCAGGAATTGGTTCTACAAAGAAATAAACAAACAAACCCTTGACTAGATTCACACGGAAAATGAGAAAATACCCCCAAAAAAATTCAAATCAGAGATGAACAGGGAGAGATTTCAATAAACTCCTCAGAAATACAAAAGATCATGAGAAATTACTATGAACCTATACTATTCAGTTGTGGAAACTAGAAGCGAACAGATTCTTAAAATCATGTAATCTTCCAAAACTGAATGAAAGGAAGCAGAGAACTTAAACAGAAGAATCACAAGAAAGTAATCTGAAGCAGTAATTTCAAATTACCCTAAACGCCTAAATAATCTTTGCCCCCAGAGAATAGGGAGGAGAAGGAAAGAAAGTTATAAGGGAAGAAGAGATAGAGGGAAAACAATGAGAAGCAGGGGTCAAGGGGACCCGAGTACACTGTGGGTGTAAAGGAGTGGGACAATTGAATAGCCAAGCCACTGAGTCAACAACACTAAAACCAACAGATCCAAACTTCAAAAAGCAAAACCCAAAATGTGCCTGTCAAGGTGGCAGGCAGGAGAGGTTATGGGTGGGGAAGGAACCTGGCAAAACCTGGTGGATGGAAGGGGACACTGGTAGCAGGATGGGTGCCTAAAACTCAAATATGAACACCATTCTAAATCATGGTGCCTTAATTATAAACATATATTTTATAAATACTAATGAAGAAATAAAATAAAATGTCCTACAAGCAAGTTTTGATTCCAGTGGATTCACTGGTGTTCTATCAAAGCTTAAAAAAAGACTTAGTAACTATATTATTCCTCAAGCTCTTCCAAAACATTAAAGAAATAAAGTTACTTCCTAGCAGGTTTTTTTAAGTATATATTCTTTGGGTACTGTGAAAATACCCAAAACAGGTAGGGATACTATTTAAAGATAAAAGTTCAAATCAATTTCCTTGATGAACATCAATGCAAAAATCCTCAACAATATCTTGGCAAACTGAATCCAACAACATATCAAAAGGATCATACACTAAATCAAGTGGGATTTATCCCAGTAATGCAAGAACAGCTCAACATATGCACTCAATTATTAGAATATACCGTACCAACGGGCTGGAGCGATAGCACAGCGGTAGGTCGTTTGCCTTGCACGCAGCCAGCCCGGCCAGCCGGGTTCAATTCCTCCATCCCTCTCGAAGAGCCCAGCAAGCTACCAAGAGTATCTTGTCCGCACGGCAAAGCCTGACAAGCTCCCTGTGATGTATATGATATGCCAAACAAAGTAAGAAGTCTCACAAAGGAGACATTACTGGACCCACTCGAGCAAACTGATGAACAACGGGAGGACAGTGACAGTGACAGTGACCATATCAACAAAGATGAGATAAAACTATGATCAGATCAGATCAATTGATGAAGAGAAAGCTTTAGACAAAATCCAACATCAACTCACAATAAAAAATCATCAACCAAATGGAAAAGAGGGTACTTCCTTATGACTGCAATGCCCATCTATAACAAACCCAAAGCCTCTACTATTCTCAGTGGTGAAAATCTGAAATCATTCCTTCCTGAGATCAGAGCAAGGCAAGGATGTCAACCATCTCCACTTTTATTCAAAATAGTTTAAGTCTTAGATATAGATAAAGTAAGAAAGAAATTAATGGTATCCAAACTGGAAAAGAAGTAAAATTATTATTATTTCCAGATATGTATTTACATAGAAGACTCAACAATCCACTAAACCACTCCTAGCAGGAGATCTTTGTCTTCGAAGAGCTTCCCCCTGAAGGAAGGGCTTTACATATATTGATTGTGCTACCTCACCTCTATGTAGTTGCTCAATGAAACCAAGAGCTGGCTCTTCAACAAAATAAAAAGATAAATAAACCACTCCAAGACTCACAAATAAAAAGAGAGAACCCTAATGAACCAAATCAGAAATGAGAAGGGGTAAATAACAACAGAAACCAAAGAAATTCAAAAGATCATCAGAAACTACTTTGAAAGTCTGTATGCCACGAAACAAGAGAACCTAGAA